GAGAGAGAGAGAGAGAAGTAATTGGAAGAATTAGTATTTTCGAAATGAGACAAGAATATCTGCAGATATTCAACTGGCTTTTCATTATTTTCGGAATAAAGGAAGAAAAATGGGAATTAATGGGCCCTCGTCTTTTAAAATAGGTATTCATTAACGGAAACAAATGAATGACCTCGAATCGGTAAATAATACGCGAACGAACATTTAAATTGAATAATTGCTACTTATCGTATTATTATTTATATTAAATTTTACATTTGAAGATACTTATTAATATTTCCTCGTAATAATATCAATTTGTACGTTGTTACGATAATTCTTCTATTCAAAAGTTAACAATTCGATTTAATAATAGTTATTAATTGAAATTCTATTTTAAATTTCTCCTAAATTCAAAAACGATAATTTAAACATAAGAATATCGTGAACAAGAAATCGAATCGCGTGGTAAATTATCCGATAGGATATATATAAAATCGAAATTTCGTGGAAATCGTTCGAGTTTGTATATATATTATTTTATAGTTGAAAATGAAAAATAAAAGTAAAGAGGGAGAGAAGAGCGGTGCAAATAAATAAATACGAGGCTTCTCGTTTACGTTTCGAGGCTGAAATATCATTAAATATTCATGAAATTATTGGTTTATCTAACGAAACGGAATTCTTTCTTTTCCGTTTATTTGTAAATAAATGAAATGATAAAAATACATGATTAACGAGACGAGTTATTGGGTCACGGCCACCTGTGCTCGTATTCGATGCAAAAAGAATTCAAGGAAATAAGTATAAATCTTTTGAGGAGAAAAAAGATCGTCCTGAATTTCGATTTTACTCGTCACAAAATTATAGTAATTGTTTGTTCATTCTATTTCATTATATTTATCCCATTTGGTTAGAATTATTTGTGTAAATGGAAAATAAAAATACGTATCGAGGTTAAAATTATTTTTTCGTAGAAATAAATTTTTATACAAATATTTTGATGATTCGAAATAAATTTACAACGAAAGCTTAATTTCCATTGTTATTTACATCGACAAATCGGTCGAATAAGAAACCTATACTTTACTTGTCGTTCAAATATAAGTTACTGTACTTTCAATAAATCTTTGTGAAAACATTAGTACAACACATGGAATAGAAATACGGTTCCACAAGAAAGGATATGCTTACCAAAGGAAAAATGTGAAGACTCGGCAATATCGCTTTCTGCCTCGTTTCAAACCTAACCTAAAAACACGCTCTAAATAAATGGGAACCGTTATGCAAGCCATCCGGTAGTTCGTAAACTGAATTGTAGATTTATATGACGAATAGTGGTACCGAAATTAAATGGAACACCAACTCCGCAATCTCTACTCGTTGAATTAAGGTATAAGGTCGACTTAATTGCGAGATAAATTCGAAATTGTCCACGAAAGGATGAACTCGCGACTGATACATGAAATTCAATTTACACGTGTGTCTTTGAAATGCAAGATTCGTGCTAACGCCTTCTCGCGGGCGTTTCGCGAATTTGTTCAAAGAACGAATAAAAAGAAAATTTATTATTATATCTCTGGAACTGGAAGTGAATTTGAAAATTTGAAAAGTAGAAATATTTTAGATTTAAAATTCTCTCTCTCTCTCTCTATATATATATATATATATATAATTAAAAAAGACAAACGTAAAAAAAAAATTAATAAAAAAATCAGAAATTGACAATTGTCACTAATTTTTAATTAACTTTTATCTCCAATCCAGTTAAAAAAAAATACGCGTAACGATGCGATGGTTAAAAATACGAGATGTTGGAATATAGATGAATCAGAGAAAGAGAAAATCTGCCACTGTGATTCGTCGGTTGGTTGGCTGGAAAATGAAAATATGGAAGGAATCGGTGGTTGATAATCGAATAGAGGTTGTCGTCGGCGGAGAAACGTTACGAAGTAAAAGTCGATATCCACGTGTGGTCCTGCGAAATGCGCAGTTACGGAATTTCAGGGCAGATACGGTCGATCGATATGCGTGGTCGCACAATTCGCTTATAATAATGAGACGAATCGTTTCACGGGCGTCTGAGATTGGCAAGGAGATTAACGACGACGAGAATGACAAAAGTTATTTAATAACTTTTCGACATTACGTGAAAAAAAATTCTTCTCTAAATTAATCATTTATTTATTAATTGTTTAACAAGTTGAACGGGCTCGAATTCGTCCGTAAATAGTTAAGGAAACGGATTAAATTTATATTTACATTTATATTTTTTTAACTCTCAAAAAAAATATTGGGATTTTCTTTCCATTGAAATTTTTTTCATGAAAAATTTTCCAATTATTTTGCTAAGTTTTTTATTCGAGAACAAATGATAAAATATATACATTGATAGGTTAAATTTCCATGTATTGAATAATCGAATGGAAAATTAATGGTAAAATAATACCCACGAAAGCCCACGAGTCAAATTTACTTAACTCGATGTAATACACGTGTGGGAATATATGCACATGATATGTCAATTGAATATCAAAATTGGATTCCAGTGCAAACACCGAGAAATCTGCTCGTGGCTTCTGATAATCAAACAATAACCGCATTCAAAAATTGCAACGATTTTTTCATTTTTTTTTTTTTCACTATATACCTGTTACAGATTTTTTCTACGCATCGTAATTAATAAAACAAAAAAAAAAAAATTTGAAAATTTAAAAATTTAAAAATCGAAACCATCAAACAATCCACTTCTCCGCGTATTAATTTTCGATCCATTCGATCGAATACGAAATATAATTTTTCACGAAACACGATACACGGTATTTGATGCTTATTAATATACGTGCATTTTATGTTAAAATCCTGATAGTTACAGCCTAGTCAGTATGAATTCACATCATGTATCGACGGGTTTGCTCTCGATAATGGCTTATTGGAAACACAGCAAGTGCATCGAACATCTGAAACTGACATCAACTGCATGCAAATACGAAAGTGGGTTAAATCAGTTTAAATCGTGAGCAAAATGGGAGAGGGGGGGGGGGAAGGAAGGAAGAAACAAATAAACGAATGAATCCTAATATCATTATATTTCGATCCTTCGTGAATTTCGAAAAAAAATTCTCTGTTTATCGAATTAATATTTGAACAGAACGTTCAAACGTTTCCAGATTCGTGCGTATTTTGAAAGTTTTGAAATTTAAATAAGCTGGAAGGTTTGAAAAAAAAAAAAAATTGAAAAATTACAAAGCCTCTCAAAATTTCCCACTCGTATAATAATATAAAGATACAACATGATACATCCTTGTTTCCAATCCATTTTCTCGACGCGTTGAGAATGTGAATGAGGGCGAAGAAGAAGCACTTTATACAATTTCTTGAATTTTGCATACGTTTCTTAAGGGAAAACAGTTGCGCGACCGTTTCAGCCTGTTGCACTGCAACTCTCTTGGACGACACGATCGATTGTAGTTGAGAAAGATTGTAGTGGACGTTAATTTAAATTACAAATTTTTAAACACTGGATAAGCATTGTCCGCTTTACAATGAAAATAAATTTGCATCGAAGTGTAAATATCCATCGTTCAAGTGTAAAAAATTTACTCCATTTATAAGAATTATCACTATAAATAAAAGACTTCGAAATCATCGCGAATCGTTCGATTCTGTTGTGCGTGCTTTTATATTTTCCCTCCATCACATTTTATGTTGAATTTTAGCTCAATTTACTTTCGTTCAATTTTCGATACTGTGATTTTCAGAGTGGAAAGATATTACACGTTATTTAACGTTGGATATCACAACATTTACAGAAAGTGAAGAAAATTAAAACCAAACTATTCAAGGATAAGAATCATGATAATAAGTAATTCAAGATAAATACAATTGTTTCGTTCCTTTCATATTATTTTATTTTTTCCCTTCTCATTCTCTGTCCACATTCCACAAATAATCGTTACTCGGATGCCAGTGAGATGGGACTTGCTTCTCTGCCGGCGAGTTGACCTTTTCAAGTTTGAAAGAGTTTCAAATATTCCAAATATTCCATCTCACCGACCTTATCTTAAATTAAACGAAGCCACTGAGCTGATGGCTGGTTAACGAGCTCATCTCGCGGCCCCACTTAAGCCTTATCGTTTCCACAT